CTCCTCCTCCTCCTCCTCCTCCTCCTCCTCCTCCTCCTCCTCTCGGTCCGCTTCCTGCCCCCGCTTGCGCACGCCCCAGTTCAGTGGTGGACTATTCGGAATCCGAACGCCTGTCTCGTGCCCTCTGTCGAGCCTCCGCTGGCAGAGGAGAGGTCGAGGCAACGGCGGCCGGCCTGCCGTTCTCTGTCCTCGCTGGGAGCTCCGGGGGCTTCTCATCGCCGCGGCTGAATCCGCCCCGCAGAACGGGTCCGCGGGGCCCGACTTTGACTGGGTCCGGGCCGGGCGGGAGAGCCACCGTCTCGACGGGCCCTCGTCCGATCTCGGGGCTCAGGGGCCAGAGGGTGGGGGTCCTCAGGGTGCTAGGGTCCCTGTTGTCAGGTTCTTGATGCTTTGGGGCTTTTCCTGACCAGCTGTTTTCCCTGACAGATTAAGAGGGCTCTGAGAACTCAAAGGGTGCTTCCCGAAGCAGCGCTTGAACTCAAGCGTCCCAGGCTGCCTTGTCGTTACCTGGGGCTGCCTGCCGCAGCCGGCCAGTCGTGCGCTGGTGCCCTATGTGGGCTGCTGCACTGCGCACGGCTGGTGCCCGAAGGTATGAGGATGGGGGGGAGGAGGAGAGCGGGGAACTGGAGCGCGGGCGCGCGCGGGGCGGTCGTGCGCTGGTGCCCTATGTGGGCTGCTGCACTGCGCACGGCTGGTGCCCGAAGGTATGAGGATGGGGGAGAGGAGAGAGAGAGGAACTTGAGCTCGAGCGCGCGCAGGGCGGAGGCCAGCGCGCGCGCGCGGCCGCGGCGAGCGGCGGACGACAGGCACGACCGAGCCGAGAGCGACGCCGGCCAGCACCCGGCGCCGCGAGGCGGGGCAGGCGGACGAGGCAGAGCGCCGAGGGCGCGACGCGCGCACCGAGCGAGCGAGGAGGCCACCCCGAGGCCAGGAGACAGGGGCGCGGGCGACCGCGGAGGGCCAGCGGGTGGGGGCCACGCGGCGCGAACCACGGGCCGAGCGCGCACGAGACGCGCGGGGGCCGACAGGGACTACCGGGCCGAGCGGGGGCGCCAGGGCCAGCGCGAGCACGACGGGCGGGCCGAACACGGAGCAGCGACGAAGCAGGGGGAAGAGAACGCCAAAGGCAGCGGGCCCGCCCGTCCTGCCTATGCCCCCCCCATACGTCGCCCCCCCCCCCCCCCGCCATTGCGCGACGCCCAACCTCCTCGACCCCGCCCGCCTCTCCCCAGAGCTCCCGCCCCCCAAGCCTCATCGCCCCCCTCCCCCCCCCCCCATGACGCGACGCCCAGCCTCCTCGGCCCTGCCTCTCCCCAGCGCCCGCCCCCCAGGCCCCAGCCCCATCCCCGCCACCCCCGAAGTGCTCCGCGGATCCCAGGCCCGCCCACGGGACCCGGACTCGCTGCACAGCCCCTTCTGGCGACGACGGGGAGGGGCAAGCACGCCCGCCCGATTTGTCTCGGATCGGGCTGCCCCGATCCGCGGCCCCTGGATCGGTGCGCACGTACTGTGTAGTGGAGGAGGAGGAGGAGGCGGAGGAGGAGGAGGAGGAGGAGGAGGAGGAGGAGGAGGAGGAGGCGGAGGAGGCGGAGGAGGAGGAGGAGGAGGAGGAGGTAGGAGGAGGAGGAGGAGGAGGAGGTGGACCCTCTTGGGCGCCCGAGGGAGGAGGGGTAACTCGGGCCCGGGGTAACTCGGGTTTAGATTCCCGAACAACGAACCCGAGTTAGCCCTGACCCGAATTATCCCTGATGATTTGGGGCTCTGGACGCCCGAGTTATCCGGGGTAACTCGGGCCCGGGGCAACTCGGGTTTAGATTCCCGAAAAACGAACCCGAGTTAGCCCTGACCCGATTTACCCCTGATGATTCGAGCTCTGACCCTCTACCTCTTCTGCAACAGTCCTCCCCAGGACTACTCCGGCATCGCGCTCTAACTACGAGTTCGAGCGAAAGCCAGCCGTGACCGCAAAGGACCCCCGGGAGGTCTCCCAAAAAGCCTGCCGCTGCAACATGTCCTCCTCACACTCCTCCTCCTTGAGGGGCGGCGATCTGGGGGGACTGTCTCAGGAGGTAAATATAGACTTACAGTTCGGTCGGGCATGTCCTCCTACAGGCGGAGTTTGGACATGACAAATTATCAAAACAGATCCAACAATTATCAAACATCATAGAAACGCCGTCTCCTGACTATGCTTTGATGTTGTTTGAACCGTCCTCCTGTAGAGGGACATGGCCGACTTGAACCTACAGTCGGCGCTACTTACGTCGCCGATGGATCGGCGATGGCCCACCCCAGCGGGCAAACCCTTCGCCCGCTCCTGGGAAGGTGGGGGTAGCCAGGCCCCGATCGGCGACGCTCCCCCCCCGCCCCTCTCATCCCTCCCGCCCTCCCTCCTCTCCCTTCCCCCTCCCTTCCCCCTCTCCCTCCCCCTCCCCTCCCTTTCCCCCTCTCCCTCCACGATTACTCGATGCGAATGCTACTCTCCTCTCTCCCCTGCTTCTGTCCAGAGAATGTCCCGTCCTGTCCTCTCCGCGTATGGCTCATTACACACAAGATTCCATCCTTTCAGGTTTCTCCTATGCGTTTGTTTCAATCCGGTCGATGCTGGTTCTTCCAAAATTGTGCTCCCGCTGCAGCGCTGCCCGCACTTCCGCGCTTCGGCCACTCAAAATCGTGCTCCCGCTGCAGCGCTGGCCTTGTTCTCGCGCCTTCGGACGGCACTTGGCATTCGAAGGCGCCCACATCGGGCAAGCACGGGTGCAGAGGACATGGAGCCCGCATTCTGGACAGGCCCTGTCTTCTCGTAGACGGCCACTTACCTTCTAAGTCATCCGGTGCCATGCCACCGCATGCAATGCGGTGCTGTGTTGTGCATCGCTGTGCGATGCCATGCTTTGCATTGCTATGCTTTGTGATGCAATGCTTTACTACGCAATGCCACAAGCTGCTATGACATGTTATGCTCTGCCGTGCTCTTCTACGCCATGCTTTTCCATCCATCGCGTACCGTCTTGGGATCATTGCCCTGCTCGACATCCGCCTGAACGAGCAGGCAGGGGATCTGCGCCCTGGCAAGGCCTGGGGCAGGACGTCAGATGTGACGCTCGCGCACCTAGCTTGCCTCCCTTGCCCCTCCCTCCCCCCGTCCCCCTCCCTCCCCTCCCTACCCCCTCCCCTCCCCCTCCCCCTCCCCCCTTCGGCCAGGCCCCCCCCCCCCTCCCGACACTGCCCCTAACGACTCCCCCGCCCTTCTGGACGAGCCCGACGCGCTCCCGCCGGCCTCGTCTCGAGCTCGCCGTTGGACTCGAGCCTCCGCTGGAACTCCTCGGACGCTCGGCGATGCTCGGCGGCGCGCAGACCGGGGGGTACACCCTGCGAAATGCTTAAGAAATCATGGGTTAAGAAATTCATAGTCTCAGAACTTGAATAAAAACCCAACATTTCCATTGAAATCTTAAGATTTACATTGAAACGTTAAGAAAAATCGAGACTCTGGCCGAAAACTTGGGTTTTCTTAAGCATCGCCTGGAGTGTAGGGGGGGGGGGGTGGGGAAGGCTTCTTAGATGGAGAGGCTGCTTCCGAGAGGGCGCGGGCCCGATACCCACAGACAAGGCCCGCGCCGCCCAGGAGGCGGCCTCCTTCTCAGGAGCCCTCCCCCCTCTCCCCCTGTTTCCCCCCCCCCTCTGCGAGCCGCCAAGACGAGGAGGGGCACGGAGGACGAGTGGAACTCCACCGCGAACACGAGCGGCGGCGACCACGACCACGATTGCGAGGACGAAGGCTGCGCAAGACGACGAGCTGAGCGCCTCCCGGCTCCCAGGTCGGGTGCGCCGACTTGGGGGGCCGAGAAGACGGGGGCCCGCGCGACGTGGCCCGAGGCACGTGAGCAGACGCCGTGGGGGGGGGGGGGGGCGGGGGGCACCACGAGAGCCCGAAGGTTACCAGCCTCGAACTTAGCCCTATGCCAAAGATTGACACGCCAAAAGGCGATGACAATCTTAGGGATGCACCCTCAAAAAATAAGGGAATCCCTAAGATTGGCATCGTGATGGGGCGATGCCCAGCATCGGGATAGGGATATGTTCCAGGCTGGTAAGAAGGGGCTGGCACGAAACCTGGGAGGCGCCATGGCCCTGGCCATGCAGAAGAGCCTCCTGCGCGGTCGCGGCCTCGCGCGCGGCGGCGAGCCGGAGCGAGTCTTTCTAGCGGCCAGAGCGAGCGCTCGCGGCCGGGCCGTCAGGCGGTCAGGCGCGGGGCAGATCTGGGATGCACACACGGACACTCACCCCTGGTGCTCAACCCCCCTCGTCGACGCCCGGTGGCCTTCGGGCCGTACTGCAGCCCGTCGGGGCTCCGGCGCGCCGCCCCGACCAGAAGGTCCCCGCGGAGACTTCTGGCACGCAACTCGCCATAGACGTCTGACGTCGTGAACAGGCACTCGCCGCCAGGCACGCGCCGCCCTGAGTGTCGCGGCGAAGGGCCCCTCGGCGACGAAGGGCCCCTTGGCGACGAAGGGCCCCTTCGCGCCAGCTCCCCCTGGGCGACGAAGGGCCCCTCGCAGGAGCCACGGGGGGGAGGAAGGCCCCGCCCGCGTGGAGCTCCAGCTGCGGACCTCGTGGTGGCGCGCGTGGCTGCGCCGTCTTCTCGGAGAATGATGGGCCTGCTTTCTACGCCACCACCGTAAGTTGGATAGGGGGGAGGAGGAGGAGGAGGAGGAGGAGGAGGAGGAGGAGGAGGAGGAGGAGGAGGAGAAGCCCCTCCCCCTCCAACTTCTGGCGGTGGTGGTGGTGGGAAACCAGGCCCATCGGAAAGCTAGGAGCAGCGGCCCCGCGAAGGGAGACCTTGGTGCACCAGGACGTCGGCACCCCCGATGCGACTGCGGCCGTGGGCCGACACGTTCTCCGGCCGTCGCCCTCTCCCGCCGGACCTGGCGACGGCACCCTGAGAGCACCGCGTCGATGCCGCGCTGGCCCGGCGACCCCGCCAGCAAGCTGCTGCTGAAGCAGTGCTGTTTTTTTCTGTTGCACGGCACGGGGGTGAGTGAAACGCGCAGTCTCGACGAGAACGCGCGTGTCACTGATGCTTGTTTCTCCTCCCGATCCTCGCCTCAAGTCTTACACGCGCAGCACAGCGGCCACGCCAACACCTGGGCATGCATGTACTTTTGGCCGGGCGTACTCCTCGTCGCACACCGGTGTGCCCCACGCAAGAGGTCCCGCCACGGCGCTGGTGCGTCAGTAGTCACGATCGCTGAAAGCTCATATTGGCACACACTTCACACACCTTCCTGCTCCACACAAGAGGTTCCCACAGCGGCGCCAGTGGGTACGAACGCCGTCTCGATACACATGTTTATATATATACGTGTACATCTGACATGTGCGTAAGTTCAGGTCATTGTGTCACGCTTTTCACACATGTGTGGCCCCACGCGGAGCCCCCGCCACGGCGCCAGTGCGCGAGTGGGCGCGTTCGCAGCACATATTCATCGTGGCACACACCTTGCACACCTTCTTGCTCCACGCTAAGCCCCCACCACGACGCTGGTGCGCTGGTGTGCACCGCTCCCCTCTCACGCAAAGGCATACACTAATATACACACACTCTTACAGACACTTACATACACGCACTTGCATGCACACACACACACGCAAACACACAAACACACACACACACACACGCACACACAGACACACACACACACACCGATACACACACACACACACTTTTTAAGTCGGCGGCGCAGAGCAGCCTCAGGCGTGGTCGGCAGAACATAGACACACAGACAAACACACAGATACACAAGGACACACACACACACACACATACAAGCACACACAGACACACATACACACACGCACAGACGCACACACACAAGCACTTTGTTCCAAAGCGCGGTGCTGGTGGGAACGGGCGCACGCTTGCATGGGCTCACTGCAGCACGCCGTTCACACATGTCGCGTTGCCCCATCAGGAAGCGTAATAACGACGGCGCAGGTGGGCACGTTCGCCGCGAGAAAGCTAAGCCAACGTTGGTAAGCTTCTATCCCGCAGGGAACTCCAACGACAATCAAAACGTGTATTAAGGAAGGATGGTAAGGCCGCAGGACCCTTGGAAGCCGAAATTTGGACTTTTAGGCGGCTGGCGACCAGTGAAAACGGCAAAGGAAGGACCGCAGAGGCAAGGACACAAGGGTACCCTATATGAAGGTGCGCGTCCTTCCTAGGCGCGTTGTCCGTGAGGCGCCAATTTGCTTTCTCGTAATTGCACGTACGTCGTACGCACGGCGTGGGTTATTCGCTCATGTGTCATATTGCTTTTACATCGACGGTCGAATTTTCTGGGGCACCCAGGGTCCGAAAAATCTCCAACGGAGAACGCATAGAAATGCCATAATATGTCTTCAAGGTGATGGAGGTCCGGGTAGAGTGAAGCGAAGGGGATAATGAGCACGCCCAATGTATCTGCAAATGCCACTGTAGGCACGCATGGCAACGCAACTGTTTTCAGTATCCCAGTCCCTTCCCGTGGCAGGATGTGAAGTGAGGATGTGGAGGAGGATGGGGATGAGGATGACAACGACGACGGAGGAGACGACGAGGGAGTATATGGGGAGGGAGCAGGGAGGTGGTAAAGGGCTTATGAAAGGTATTTACGTGGTTCTGAGGTCTGAGGAGCTGAGGATGGAAGCGGAACATGAGGAGGTGGAGAAAGCGGTGGAAACGGCACAGTACGAGAAGGAGGAGAAGGAGGATGAGAACGAGAACTGAGACGAGCAGGGAACATGGCTTCAGAAGGTGCCTGGAGGACTGCTCTGGTCGTTGGTTTGAGAATATCGGGGGAGCGATGGATACGACGGCAACACAAATAGGACTACGCCTGAACAACACCACCCTAAACGCGAATTTACTCGGGCGATCCACACTGAGGACCTACTTCGAGTATTGCGAAGTCTGTCGCGTATGACTCCACAATGTGATATGTTATATAATTGCTCACGTATGGTCGCTGAGCATGCCATGAGTGCTTGGTATGTCCGTATTTGGTTTCGTGTGGAATGTGTCCACATTCGTCAGATGCGTTGTGCGTGAATGCTAGTCAAGTCTTTACGCGAGTCCTTTATGTACGCTAGTGCTTCGATGATGTATGTCACAGCTGTACGTTGCTCGTGCATGTAACCCCCCATATGATTATCAGTACTGCGATTTCCTGATGCCTGTCACGAATGCATGCCTGTCAAGCGTGTCACTGGTGCCCCGTATTGAAGTATGTGTTTCGTCTCTGTTATTGAAACCTTTTATTGGTGAACATATGGTTGTGTTTACGTGGTCGGATAATATCGTATGTGACTGATGTGCGATATGTGCATGTGGTCGTGATGCCTCTTCGTGATGTACATCCTTCATGTCAGGTAACCGGGAGTGAGTGAAGTCTGCACTTGGCGCACGGTGTATCGTGCTGATGTCCAATCGTGGGGTAACTCGCTGGTATGTGTTATTGATGTGGGCTCTCGGTGTAGTTCCTTCGTGAATGGATGGGATTGGTGTGTGTTCGCGATGCCGAGTACTTACGCTGTGTACGAATATGACGTCGCGACGTACGACACTGCTGTATACTATCAATGTGTGTGTCTGTATATGCTAGCTTTGCCTACTCGGAATTAAAGATACATTGGTGCCATCTCCTGGTGTAGATTAGGGTTGGGAATGACGTATGATACTCACGTATGCGGCGTGTGTTACTGGCGTGTGTGATGGACGCCCGCTGCTGATGCATTGCCGTGAGAGAAGTGTTTGACGCATTGTCGTGGGGTATCTGTTTGATGCTTGCTATGGGTGTATGGGATTGATATATGGTCCAGACGTCTGATGTGTCTGCTGCATGTCGCTGTTTGATGAGAGACCTGGGCCAATTGTGGCTGTTACTGATGTGTGTACTCGAGGCATGCTACTGATGCGTACTGATGCTGTTCGCGACATGCGTTCTCAATCTATGCCGTTGATGATGTGTTGCAAGTGCGTGCTCTTGCTGAAGAACCTGGATGTTTGATTTGGATGTGTGTTCTTGGTGGATGCCGTTTGTTGTCTGTTTGGTGTGTATGTTCTGTGTTCTCGACACGACTGTTCTAAGTGCCTCTGGACAGCGTGCCTCCGTGACGCCTGGACGGCGTGACGCTGAGATGCCTCGCGAGGAGGGGCACACTCAAGGACCACCGGGGCTTGTCTGGGCCTGGATTTCCGCGGTGTGCGGGGCCGGGCGGCCAGAGCATTCAAGCACCCTATCTGGGCCTGGCTGCCACGGTAGCATGTGCAAGGCAGGCTAGGCACTCTGGGTTTCTTAATAAGCGTGGGGGTTACCCCCCAACGGGGGTCGCCTCGTCGTCGCGCCGCGACGGGGGTCGGAGCGCCTTCGGCGCGCGGTGGCTGCCCGCGACGGGAGTCGATGTGGGGCTGTCGGCGGGGGTGACGCCCTTCCGACGCTTATCAAGAAACTCGGAGTGGGCTGTTCCTTAAAGTCTGGCAAAAACCAGCCTGCCGAGTGAAGATGATAAACAATCGGAGGTCCGCGCGGACCTCCGAGAGATTTTGCTCATGTATAGGAAGACGAAAGAAACGGCGTAAGCATAAACTTTTGGCGCTCCGCGCGGACTTCTTGGATCCGCGCTGGACCCCCTCCCTGGCGCGCGGAGCGCGCCAGGGGCAGCGCTGGAGCCGCCGCCGGGGGGCCCAGCGCGCGGATCCAAGAACCCCGCGCGGAGCGCCAAAAGTTTATGCTTATGTTTTTGTTGTTCTTCTTCGATGTATGTGGCTACCTAGAGTAAGGGGGTGCAGCAGGAGGAGGAGGAGGAGGAGGAGGAGGAGAAGAAGGAGGAGGAGGTTGAGGAGGAGGAGGAGGAGGAGGAGGAGGAGGAGGGAGGAGGAGGAGGGGGAGGAGGAGGAGGAGGAGGAGGAGGAGGAGGAGGTGGCGCGTGCAGCAGGGGGCGGTGCTCTCCTGCACCTCCGTGCCCAAGATGGAGTGCTTCACGCCGTGGCGATCCTCTCCAGGCCACGGGGGGATGGTGGGGCGGCAGGAGAGCCAAAATCGAATCGATAAGTCGGATCGGCGATCGAAATGAATCGGATCGGCGGAAATCGGCAGCCGAGTCGGGAAAAGTCGAATCGGCAGACATCGGCAGGCTAGTAGGCCTGCAATAAGAAATCGGAGCCCAAGTCGGAATCTCAAGTCGAATCGAATCGGAATCGGAAGCCATCGAAATCGAATCGAATCGAATCGGAGGAATCGAAACGAGCCCGGGCGGCACCGGCGGGGGCGTGCCCCGGCAGTGGGAGGAACGGGGGGAGGGAGCCCTGGCCTTCCAGGGTGCTGAACAGAAGCCCTCCGCACCGGCAGATCGCTCTGGACTGCTGCTTGGCACCCCGACTGGAATTCAAACTCCAATTTCTGGTGTTAGTGTCCGGCCCTCGTGGAAGATCAAAAAGGGAGGGGGTGTCGGAATATGTAGTCCTTGACTCTTGGGGCGGGTCTCCTTCGAGCGCGGACTAACCGACCCCTTCCGTGACGCGCCCCCCGCCCTCGATAGAGGCCTCCCACATACGGGCCGAGCAGATGAGGTCGGAGGATCGCGCCGCATCGCCGATCGCCGAGGAATCGTCGATGCATCGGCGACGTCGTTGCGGAGAAACAATCGTGCTCCACATCTGGACGCATCACTAGTGCATCGGCGAAGCGGCGCGAGCCTCTGACCCCACCACCTCGCCATCGCTCGGACGTCCCTTCTCCGTGCACTTTTCGATCTCGTGCGTGTACTGCTTCGCAGGGTGACCCAACATGATCCTCGATGGCAGGAGAGCCCAGAATCAAACCGATAAGTCGGATGGGCGATCGAAACGAATCTGATCGGCGGAAATCGGCAGCCGAGTCGGGAAAAGTCGGATCGCCACAGTCTGCAGGCCAATACGCCTCCTGGGAAACATCGGAACCCAGATCGGAATTCCGAGTCGAAACCGATCGGAATCGGAAGCCCTCAAAGTCGAATCCAATCGGATCGGAGGCGTCGACACGAGCCCCGCGATGGCCCCCGCCGAAAAAAAAAAGTGCCCACGTCCGAACGATGCCAAGCCACACCCGCTCCCGCACTTTGGGAGGCCTGGGCTCGAGGCCCCCACACCTCGGAGGGGGGCCAAGAGGGGGGCCTCCAAGAGGGGGGAGCGCAGATCCATCATGGCCGGCGGCACGTGCGCGGCCCAGGGGGGAGGCCAAGAACGTAAGGAAACAAGAAGAGGCGCCATGAAATCTGAGGACATATCATTGCCCACGCCAACTTTCGCATCAGAAACTGGGTGTCCATCCAACGCACTCGCAAATCTGCGTTCGCAGCCCGCGTCTTCTTCGACGCCGAGAACAAGTGGAGCAAACGACTGTTGCTCTGGACGCCGTGGTTCCGGACGGAAGCCAAACGATCTCAAGGGCGACCTCGTCTGAGATGGAGAGATTCGTTGGATGCGTGAACGGCCTCCCATGCACGCGTTTCACTTGATGCATTTTCCTGATTGCCATGCGCGCGTCTGCCCCTCAGGGGACCGCTCCGGCTACCGGAGCCGGCACGCAGACTTCCTGTCCTGTCCTGTCCTGTCCACTTCCGGCACGTGCGCGGCCCAGGGGGGAGGCCAAGCACGTAATGAAATGAGAAGAGGCGCCATGAAATCGGAGGAAATCTCCTTGCCCGCGCCATCACCCGCCACAGTCAGGAGGAGGAGGAGGAGGAGGAGGAGGAGGAGGAGGAGGAAATCTCATTCACCCCCCACAAATCATCACCCCCGTCTCAGCCGCCCCCGACCACCGCCCGCCCGCGTCGGCCTCGAGGCGCCTGGGCCGGTCACGGACGGACGGGGTCGGCTCGCGGTCGGTCACAGGCCGGCCCTGCGCATGGCCCCCCACAGAAGCAACGCCCAGGACTCCTGACGGCTCCAGGGCCCGAAACCGCACCACGCACCGAGCCACCCCCACCCAAACCGAAGGCCACGATTGGCCCTCCAGTCCCAGCGGGGCGGGCGTCGGGGAACATGGAAACGACACGTGTGGCACCCGCGCCTCCCCCCCCCAAACCCAGGAAATTGGGTCTTCGGGTTGTGTTGGGGTGGTCGTGTTGGTAGTCAGAAGCTCTGGACGGGGCCCTGAGACACACAAATAAATAGACACAAATAACAAGATGTTCCATATTTCCCCATATTTTCTGGTTCTTGTCTCCCCCCCACTTCCCATGTATTCCCATATTTTCTCGGGAATCGACGATTAATTGTGTCCGTGTTTTCCCAACCATCCGGTGGTGTTGGGTCCTCGTTTTGAAGAGACAGCGCCCTGCGTCTTCCCTCCTCGTCCTTCCCCCTCCCTCCTCCTCTCACCCGTCATCATCACCATCATCGTCATCATCATCGCCGTCATCAGCACCATCACCCCTCACACGTTTCGTGGCCCCATAGGGAGCTCCACAGAAGGCCCAAGTGCTACCGGCCGCATGCGTCCCGCACACCCAAATCGGCACACCCCTCACACGTCTCGTGGCCCCATAGGGAGCTCCACCGAAGGCCCCAGTGCTGCCGGCCGCATGCGTCCCGCATGCCCAATTCGGCACACCCCTCACACGTTTCGTGGCCCCATAGGGAGCTCCACCGAAGGCCCCAGTGCCGCCGCCCGCATGCGTCCCGCACATCCAATTCGGCACACCCCTCGCACGTCTCGTGGCCCCACAAGGAGCTCCACCGAGGGCCCCAGTGCCGCCGCCCGCATGCGTCCCGCACACCCAATTCGGCACACCCCTCACACGATTCGTGGCCCCATAGGGAGCTGGTGGTCCCGACAGCTTCCCTAGGGACCTCCTCCTCCTCCTCCTCCTCCTTATCCTCTTCGTCTTCCTTCTCCACCCTCCTCCTCCATCCTCCTCCTCCATCCTCCTCCTCCTCCTCTCCTCCTCCTCCTCCTCCTCCTCCTCCTCCTCCTCCTCCATCCTCCTCCTCCTCCTTCTCCTCCTCCTCCTCCTCCTCCTCCTCCTCCTCCTCCTCCTCCTCCTCCCACCTCCTCCTCCGTACCGATACCGACACCGCTGCTCCCCCGGCCTCTCCAGGGGGGCGCGCTTCGGCCAGGGCTCCCGAGGCGGATCCCGCGGTGGCGACGGAGAGGGCCTCCTGGGAGGCCCCCAAAGAGGGGGGGAAGAGCGGGCGCGGCGCAGCGGCATGGGTACAGTACATGGACAATATATTCGAACCCAATGCAGACGTGAAGGGAATGCTGGTCCCCCCCCTGCCCCCCCACTTCAATGTTGAGATCGGTATGGGTGTTGCTTTGGGGGTTCGAAAATTATTGTCCACCCAAGCCCCCCCTTCATTGCCACATCTCCCCAATATTAATTTGGGGGTCCGGGGGACATCTTGTGTCGCAAGGTTCGGATATATTGTCCATGTACGGTACCTCTTCCTTTCCTCCTCTGACCAGAACCCAGCTGGTGATCCAAAGATGGGGTCCTGAGGGATGGGGTCCTCGGGACGAGGTGCCTCGGACAACGTGGATCCACCCTCGGATCCCTTCCTCCTATCCTTGGGACCCCATCCCTCAGGACCCCGTCTTTGATGCACCGGCTCTAGAAGAACAGATAACCATATAAACATAACCATAAACTTTTGGCGCTCCGCGCGGATTTCTTGGACCTGCGCGGGACCCCCCTCCCTGGCGCGCGGAGCGCGCCAGGGGCGGCGCCGGAGGCGCCGCTGGGGGAGGGCCCAGCGCGGATCCGAGAAATCCGCGCGGAGCGCCAAAAGTTTATGTTTATGTGTGCTTTTCTCTTCTTCGATTCCTATCCTGAGGACCCCACCTTTGATGCACCGGCTAAGGGAACCTCAAACTTCGGGGGCGCGCAAGCATTCAGCGATGCATGGACCTGGCGCGTGGTCGCCAAATTCATGGATCGGGGGAGGTGCCCTCCACAAAATGCGGCCGGTGCCGCCTCGCTCGGCGGTTCAAACAACCGCGATTTCCCGTGGAAACGGGGCCCGTCGCTAATCCACGCCACCTTGACCCATGTTTGCGATCGCCTGACTGATGCACCGGCTCAGGGAACCCCACACTGCTCCATCCGCGCTGGCGGCCAAGAGGGGGGTGTCCAAGAGGGGGGGGTGCAAATCATGACCAGCGGCATGTGCGCGGCCCAGCGGGGGGGCCAGGAACGTAATGGAACAAGAAGAGGCGCCATGAAATCTGGGGAAACATCATGGCCCACGCCATGATATCCACCCCCCCCTAATCATCACCCCCCTCTTTTCCGCCCCCGAGCGCCAGCGGCCCCCTCGAGCGGTCCATGCTGACGCACACGGAGTGCCTGGCCTCGCGCAAGCTGCCCAGGGCAGCGCCGAGACCAGCCCTGGGTGCGTGCGCTCGCGCGGGGGGAGGGGGCGGGCGCGCCGGGTCCTCTCTCCGAGGGGGGGGGGAGCGAAACCCGGAAGCTGGGCAAGGGCTGGCAAATGCGTGGCTGCTGAAACGGTCTTCCCAGAAGGAAACACAGATTCCCGGAATAAAACTCAGTGCACCAAATAATAAACAAGCTGCTTCCGGAAGAGAACAAACAATTTCCCGGAGCTACGTTTTAGCAGCCACAGGTTTGCGGATTTTGGGCGAAAGTCCAAAAATAGTCAAACAAATAACCTAAAACAGTCGAAACAAATACTGGAACATCGCCCCCAGACTATTTTTGACTATTTATGAATATCCCTCCTGCAGAGGGACAGGCCCGACTTATTGCTGGCCGCCAGAGACTGGGAAATGTTGCGATGAATTGGCGTGCAGTCGAAAGGCTACCAACAGGGACACCCTCCATAAGGAACGAGGCCCCCTTTTCCAGAAGTTCAACTTCGACTTCCGACAGAAAGCCTCGATCTCCCATAGAAAATCGAAGGACAACTTGAGAACAACTGGGACAAAAATCAACACCGAGCCCCTCCCCAACGAAAGGGTCTCTTCTTCAGCGGCCCGACTATATTTATGTCGGGCGTGTCCCCTCACAGTGGGATGTTCGACGAAAAACAAATAAAAGATCCCCCATCAATACCCCTAAAAGGTAAGAAAATACTCAAAAATAGTCCCCTGGCTATGTTTGGATTATTTTTCGACAATGTTGGAGGATTTGTTTTTTTTTATGTTTCGCCGAAAATCCCCCTGTGGGGGGACAGGCCCGACAAGGGGAAAGGGCTCAGATATACATACACACATATATATATATATGTATATATATATATATATATATCTATATATATATATATATATATATATATATATATATGAGCCCTTCCCCCCAAAGGCACGCAGAGACAACTTCTCAGAAGGTGCGAAGGCTCTCGCGAAGCCCCGCCGCCTTCCGCGAAAAAGCCTTCTCCTTCTCACTTCTCTCGGCGGTGGACAGACCTCCCTTTAGTAAACCTCCCCTTAGTGCAAGCGGCCTGGGACCGAAACCGACGGGCCTGGACCCACAAAAAGTGACGGCCGCGACGCCCTCCCGCGAGCCGCAGACGGCCAGTTTCTGAATCGACGTGTCAGGGTAGGAGGTCTGTCCAACCCCGAAGGGACCGCCTGGGACCACCCGCACGACCACCCCCAGCCCAACCCGAAGACCCGAGTTCTGGGCGGGCGGGGGGGGGGTGCGGGTTCCCCATGTGGCGTTTCAGCGTTCCCCGACGCCCGCCCCAGGGCCAGGGCGGGAGGCCCATGAGGAGGCGGAGGAGGAGGCGGAGGAGGAGGAGGCGGAGGAGGAGGCGGAGGAGGGAGGAGGAGGAGGGAGGAGGCGGAGGAGGAGGCGGAGGAGGGAGGAGGAGGAGGAGGAGGAGGAGGAGGGAGGAGGAGGAGGGGGAGGAGGAGGAGGAGAGGAGGAGGAGGCGGAGGAGGAGGAGGAGGAGGAGGAGGAGGAGGAGGAGGAGAGAGGAAGAGGAAGAGGGCAGATCGGGGCCCTCGGTCTGGGTCGGAGTGGCTTTTGGTGCGCGGTGGGGCCTCGGACCCTGGACCCGTCGGGAGTCCTGGGCGCTGCTCCTCCTCCTCTCCTCCTCCTCCTCCTCCTCCTCCTCCTCCTCCTCCTCCTCCTCCTGGGCTCCTGGGGGGGGGGCCATACAAAGGGGGGCGGAGAGACGTGCACCTTGCGTGACCTTTTTGGGGCACCAGGGGGGGCCCTTTACGTAGGGCTCCTCCGATCCCAAGAGGAGCTCTTCAGCCCCCATCACATCGGGGATCTATCGACCCGGGTCGGTCCACACCCGGGACACTCGTGCTCTGCAAAATCCTCCAAGGTCCTGCAGGATCCTGCACGCAGGCCCGGGCCAATGCGCCCCTGGCTTTGCAAGATGCTGAAACAATTTGCACTGAGCCCCGTCTGAAGTCTCCCGAAAGCATCGCCTGAGAGTCGGCCCGGGACTTTGGACGCCCGAAATGGGTACGGAAAGAATGGCACAATGCCCAACAACAATTGTTGTCCCAAACCAACAGCGGCCGCTTCTGGGCAGGCGGCCTTCTGTCTCGAAGGGACACAGGCCGCGGCGGCGTGGACAGCGAGTCCTGTTCAGAATGAACAAGATCCGCTGTTGGGCATTGTACCCATTCTTTCCGTGCCCATCTCGTTCGTGCAGAGGCACGCCGTCGTCGCCCCGATCTATTTCTGGAGCGCGGGGCCGGGCTGGGGGCGGCGCGGCGCGGCCTCCGGGCTGGCAGGCGCTCGGGCCCGAGGGCGGGGAGCGGAGGGCAGGGCATCCGAGAGCAGCAAAAAGGTGCGAGGGCATGGTGCCCAAAGAGGCACGCAGAAACAGCCTCTCAGAGAAGGTGCGAGGGCATCGTGCCCATTCTTCCCGTGCCCATGTCGTGCGTGCAGGAAGGGACAAAGATCAGCAGTCCCCCTTGGGCGAGGGGCGGAGAGGGGCCAGGGCCTCGGCGAAGGCCCGAGACGACAGAGCAGGGGCCTCGACCACAAGAAAAACCTTCCACAGAGACACCCAGCCTCCTCCTCCTCCTCCTCCTCCTCCTCCTCCTCCTCCTCCTGGGGCCCTGAGACCCCAGGACGTGCCTTGACTTTCTTGTGGTGCGGGAGCGCCGCGCGTTCCAGAGCAAAGCCATCGAAGCCCAGGAAATTCGGGGCACCCCGGAGGCAAGCAGGGTGGTGAACGTTTTTCTGTTCGGCGTTTCGACACTGGGCGGAGGGGGGGGAGGGGGGGGGTCTGGCTCCGGACCTCTGCTCTGTGCGACTGCTTGGAACCGTGCGTCCTACGGGGGAGGCTCCACCTGCTCGAAACAGGCGCCGAAAAACAGCCAAGACCTACTCCATAGGGGGGGGGTTGGGGCTGGCGCCGATCGGCAAAACAACGAATGAGAAAACGATCATCTGCTTCTTGGCACGGGCCTCCACGGTCTCGAGTCGTCGGCTGTCGGCGAGGGGGGGCGGATGGGCTCTCCAGGCGGGGACCTCCTCCTCCTCCTCCTCTTCCTCCTCTTCTGGGAACCGCAAAAGGTTCTTAGAACATTGTTCAGTGGGGCTATAGGCGAGCCAGGACGCTTCGCCACTGCTTGAACTGTCTCGAGTCGTCGGGCGTCAGCGAGGGGGGGCGGACGGGCTCTCTCCCGGCGGGGACAGAGGCTGCCCCTGCAGACGTCGCCGACGCAGCGCCGAGCTGGCTAGGCGGCAGGGCTCGACAGCAAAACCGCACACCCCCTGGGCTTTGGACGCCCGAAATGGGTACGGAAAGAATGGGTGCTATGCCCAACAGCAGATGTTGTCCAAAACCACCAGCGACCGCTGTTGGGCAGGCGGCCTTCTGTCTCGAATGGACACAGGCCGCGACAGCGAGTCCTGTTCAAAATGAACAAGACATGCTGTTGGGCATTGTACACATTCTTTCCGTGCCCATCTCGGGCGTCCAAATGGGCAGGCTGGCGGGCGGGCCCAAAATCGGATCGACGAGCCGGAGAGGCGATCGAAGCGAGTCGGATCGGCGGACGTCGGCAGCCATAGTCGGGAGGCGTCGGCTCGGCGGAAACACCGGCGGGCCGGCAGGCCTCCGCCGAGAAGTCGGAGCCCGAAGCGGATGCCGAAGTCGAAGCGAATCGGAATCGGAGGCCATCAGAGATCGAATCGAGTCGAAGCGAGCGCACCGAAGTCGAATCGAATCGAATCGAATCGAGAGCGAATCGACTCGAAGCGAGGGCACCGAAATGCTGGGCTGGGGCGCCAAGGGCCATCGAAGGTCGATGCTTCCCCCCTCCTGGGCCAGTCCCGCCCCCGTCGGCGCCCTGGAGCTCGCCACCGCCTCCCTCCCTCGCCCCCCCCCCCCCCTCGTCTCTCCGCTCCTGCCCACACCAATCTGTCCTGCTCCGTCGCCTCCTCCCCCCCCGCGCTCCTCAACGGCCCGGGCTGTCGGCCCCATCCTCCTGCGGAACTTCCGAAGCCCTGAACCGGCCGGACCCGTCCACGGGGCACTTAACCGGGTCGACACGCCCGCCACGTGTGTCTCACCTCGCCCAAATCTGAAGATCTCGTGCGTTTCCGTGGCGCACAGCCTTCTGCACCCGAGGTGGTGGTGGTGGTGGTGGTGGTGGTGGTGGTGGTGGTGGTGGTGGTGGTGGTAGTGGTGGTGGTGGTGGTGGTAGTGGTGGTGGTGGTGGTGGTGGTGGTGTACCTGTACATGTGTGGGCCCCGCAAAACCCCAACGGGGGTCTCCCGAGATCCTCGGGGTCCCACCAAAAGTAGGAGGGGGAGGGGGTCCTCCTCCTCCTCCTCCTCCTCCTCCTCCTCCTCCTCCACCTCCACCTTCTTCCCCCCTCCAACTTATGGTGGTGGTGGTGGTGGTGGTAGAAAGCAGGCCCATTATCCTCGTACCGCACCCGCACCGCACCGTCTGGGAATGGCCAGAGAGGCAGCTCACCTGTGGACGGCGCGGGCGCGACTCGTGACTCTACTGGCACCCTCCTCCTCCTCCTCCTCCTCCTCCTCCTCCTCCGCCTCCGCCTCCTCCTCCTCCTCCTCCTCCTCCTCCTCCTCCTCCTCCTCCTCCCGCCCCCTTCGGGGATCTACCGACCGGGGTCGATCGAAACCCGGGTCGGTCGGGCTTTTGAAAGATCCTGCAAAATCCTGCAGGATCCTGCACGCAAGCCCGGGTCAACGCACCCCTGGCTCTGCAAGATCCTGCAAAATCCGGCGCGCTCTGGCTGACCCCCGTTTGCACTGAACCCTGTCCCTTGAGCCCCGACCCTTCCCCCCCCTCCCCTCCGGTAACGCCCGGTGTCGCCATAGGATTCAGAAAACAAGCTCTTCCTCTGGAGCCCCATGTGAGCCTCGAGCAGTACTGAACCTAAACGGTGTCTTTCGTTTTCGTTTTGTTCTCGTTTGCCCTCGCGTTTTTGTCTCGAAGCCGCCTTTCCCGCAAAACGGCATCGAAACGAAAACGGCCCACGAAATCGCCAAAAACACCGTGTAGGTCCTGCCCTGGCCTCGAGCATCGGAGGTAGGAAGAGGAGGAGGAGGAGGAGGAGGAGGAGGAGGAAGAGGAGGAGGGAGGAGGGAGGAGGGAGGAGGGAGGAAGGAGGAGGAGGATGATGAGGAGGGGGGAGCCCGTCCTCTGAAGGCACGCGCTGCCACCCCAACCCTCGGACAACCCCCTCGTCCGCCTCCCGCTCCGCCTAGAAGCAAGCAGCCAAGGGCTGTGCGCTGGATAGGCTACTGTCAAAAACCCTAATACGGACGGCGCGATAAGGACGCAAGACCCTTGGAAGCCGAAGTTGGGATTTTTGGGGCGGCGGACGACGAAAACCTGAAGGACACAAGAGCAAGGAAGAGCAAGGACGCAAGGGTACCCTGAGCAAAGTCGCGCGTCCTTATTAGGGTTTTTTACTGTACGAGAAGATCGGTCAAGCAGGGAGAGCGACCCTGATCTTCCAGAGTGCCAACCAGTGGCCTTCCAGACCTACCGCCCTATCTGGACTGCCTCAAACCTCGACGGGAATGGAGCCGTCGAGCTCCTAGTGCTATGGATTGGCCCTCCTGGAAGACGGGTACTACTACTCCTCAGACCCCTCCGAGGTCGAAATGGAGCGGTGCTTCGAGCCGCGCCCGGCGTGGCCACGAGAGGGGCCCCTCCCTCCCTCCTCTCTTGAAAGGGCCCAGGGGCACATGAATACATAGCTCCCTGATTCCCTCATATTCTCCATATTTGCTGGAGGAGGAGGACCACCAGGAGGACGTGAAGGAGGAGGAGGGAGCAGGAGGAGGAGCAGGAGGAGGAGCAGGAGGAGAAAGGAGGAGGAAGGAGGAGGAAGGAGGAAGGAGCAGGAGCAGGAGGAGGAGGAGCAGGAAGGAGGAGGAAGGAGGAGGAAGGAGCAGGAGCAGGAGGAGGAGGAGGAGAAGGAGGGAGGGAGGGAGGAGGGAGGAGGAGGGAGGAGGAGGACCTCCCTGTCCCCCCCCCCCCTGGGCAGCCTCCTCTCCTCGAGCTGCGCCAGGCGCGCGCCGAAGTCAGCCTCTCGGGCAACAGGGCGCGGGCGCGAGAACGAGCGGCGGCCCGCGCCCGGGGGGCTGGCGGTCTGCCGAGAGAGCACGGGGCTTCGGGTCGTCGTCGTCGCCGTCGCCGTCGCCGTCGCCGTGGTCGTCGTCGTCGTCGTCGTCGCCGTCGCCGTCGCCGTCGCCGTCGCCGTGGCCGTCGTCGTCGGCGTCGTCGTCGTCGTCGTCGCCACGATTTATGAGGCCCTTCTCGTGTCTAGGCGAGGCGTCCTGGCTTGCCCATAGGCCCACCAAAGGATGCTCGCAAAATCAGTGATGGAGTGCACGAATTGTTCTTGGAACACTTCTGGCCGAGACCGCCCCGTGCTTTGCCCAGTCCCCCCCCTTCATCTCCGTGCTTCTCTCGCTTCTGTTGCCCCTCCTGCTCCTCCTGCTTTCTCCCTCTCGTTCTGCGCCTCTGCCTCCTCCTTTCCCCCCTCCTCGTCCTCATTCCTCCCCTCCTCCTCTTCCTCCTCCTCCTCCTCATCCTCCTCCTCATCCTCCTCTTCCTCCTCTTCCTCCTCCCGCCATCTCATCCTCCTCATCAGGACGAGAATGACGTCATGATACGCCCTCGCAGGACGCGTTCCAGGAATTACATGGTGCCCAATAGCCAGCGACGCTCGTCTCTAGTGTGCGCGCGGAGCCAGGACACCTGGACATCATCTCGGAACGCGTCAACACCATGACTCCTTGCTGCTCTGACGTGACGGTAGGCTCGGGTCTCACACCGAGCGCTCACGATCCCCTCGAAGGGATCCGGGGCATTGGGTGCACCCATGTGAGGTCGGTCCCCCGGCAGAGCAAGAGCAGGTGGCAGAAGCACGGGGCTTGGGAGGCCCAGTCCGCGCAGTCCTCCTGGATCGGCGCTGGGCCCTGGGGCCACCACCTCCCTGGCGAGCAGGGGGCCACATGCTGCTCCGGGAAGAAGCCGCGCGGACCTCCGGCGAGTCCATGGTGGCTTGCAGCAGGGGCCCGACCACAAGAAGCCTGCCACGAAGAAACCCAAGACACCCAGGAGGCAAGCGGGGCGCAGGGGCCTCCCCTGCAGCTCATGTCTGTGCCGCGCTGTCCCCAGCGAGGAGGAGGAGGAGGCGGAGGAGGAGGAGGAGGAGGAGGAGGAGGAGGAGGAGGGGAGGAGGAGGAGGAGGAGGAGGAGGAGGAGGAGGAGGAGGAGGAGAGGAGGAGGAGGAGAGAGAGGAGGGAGAGAGGGGGAAGGGGAGGAGGAGGAGGAGGGAGGAGGAGGAGGAGGAGGAGGAGGAGGAGGAGAGGGGAGGAGGAGGAGGGGGAGGAGGAGGAGAAGGAGGAGGAGGAGGACGAGGAGGAAGAGCCTAAGCCAGAGGGGGTTCCTGCCGGCCCTCCCTCGAGGTAGGCTCGGCCCCGCACGGTGGCTGCCTGCCTCGTGCGGGCGCCTGGCAAGCGCGGGGGGCCCGGTTTGGAGGCGGCGCCCGGCGGTTCTCGGGCCTGCTGCCCGTGACCCTGGCTGCTCGGCGCTCGTTGGCCTGATTTGAAGGGGCCCTGGGACACACACATAACTACACACAAACAAGTGGCACGCGTGCCCTGGCTCTTGCACAAAGGTGTCCGAGGCTCAGGGGGGCTGCCCTGGGAAGCCTGGGCGAGGGGGGGGGGGCGAGGGGGAAAATAAAAGGTTCCGTGGCCCAGGGGGGCTGCCCTGGGAAGCCTGGACGGGCTGCTCTGGGAAGGCTGGGACTGGATGGGAGGCAGGGGGGGGTGCGGGCCAGGGCCAGGGGACGACCAGGGCCAGGGGGACGAACGACACGAACGACGAACGACACGAAAATAAAGGGTTCCGTGGCCTAGGGGGGCTGCCCTGGGATGCCTGGACGGGGGCAGGGGGGGGTGCGGGGCCAGGGCCAGGGGGCGACCAGGGCCAGGGGGACGAACGACACGAACGACGAACGACACGAAAATAAAGGGTTCCGTGGCCCAGGGGGGCTGCCCTGGGAAGCCTGGACGGCTGCCCTGGGATGCCTGGACGCGGGGCAGGGGGGGGTGAGGGCCAGGGCCAGGGGGCGACCAGGGCCAGGGAGACGAACGACACGAACGACGAACGACACGAAAATAAAGATGTCCGAGCTCTAGAGCACAGCTGTGCAAGAAAACGACGACACGAAAATAAAAGGTTCCGTGGCCCAGGGGGGCTGCCTTGGGAAGCCTGGACGGGCTGCTCTGGGAAAGCTGGACTGGATGGGAGGCAGGGGGGGATGCGGGCCAGGGCCAGGGGGACGACCAGGGCCAGGGGGACGAACGACACGAACGACGAACGACACGAAAATAAAGGGTCCCGTGGCCTAGGGGGGCTGCCCTGGGAAGCCTGGACGGGCTGCCCTGGGATGCCTGGGCGGGGGGCAGGGGGGGTGAGGGCCAGGGCCAGGGGACGACCAGGGCCAGGGGGACGAACGACACGAACGACGAACGACACGAAAACAAGTGGCACGTGTGCCATGGCTCTTGCACAAAAGGAAGGGGGAGGAGGAGGATATGGAGGAGGGGGGGGAGAGGATGCCAGAAATCGCAAAAGGAGCGAACAAAACAGGAGAGGGGCTCCAGAGGGCGAGCGCGAGGAGACTCCAAGGGCCGTCCCCCGCAAGATGGCTTCAAAGACCTTTGACGGGTTCCCAGGAAGCCTCCAACTGACGCCCGAGGGCGCTGAGACGGTGTCCGGGAAGGGCTGCGGTGCCGAAATAAAGTGGGCGGGGCGGAGGGGGCGCTGGGCGAGCGCTGGAGCCGTGGGGGGCGCTGAGACGTGTGGGGGAGGGGGCGGAGGATGGGGGGGGGTTGTCGGGGCGGAGGGGGCACTGGGCGGGCGCTCGAGCCGCGGGGGAGCGCTCAGACGGCGCGGGGGAGGCGCGGAGGGGGGGGGGCGGTTGCGAAATAGTGGTCGGGGCGGAGGGGCAGTGGGCGGGCGCTGGAACCGCGGGGGGGCGCTGAGACGGCGCGGGGGAGGAGGCGGAGCGGGGAGGGGGGGGGTGCGGTGCCGAAATAAAGTGGTCGGGGCGGAGGGGGCACTGGGCGGGCGCTGGAGCCGCGGGGGGGGCGCTGAGACGGCGCGGGGGAGGGGGCGGAGCGGGGGAGGGGGTGCGGTGCCGAAATAAAGTGGTCGGGGCGGAGGGGGCGCTGGGCGGGCGCTGGAGCCGCGGGGGGGCGCTGAGACGGCGCGGGGGAGGGGGCGGAGCGGGGGGGGGGGTGCGGTGCCGAAATAAAGTGGTCGGGGCGGAGGGGGCACTGGGCGGGCGCTGGAGCCGCGGGGGGGCGCTGAGACGGCGCGGGGGAGGGGGCGGAGCGGGGGGGGGGGTGCGGTGCCGAAATAAAGTGGTCGGGCGGAGGGGGCGCTGGGCGGGCGCTGGAGCCGCGGGGGGGCGCTGAGACGGCGCGGGGAGGGGGGGGGGGGTGCGGTGCCGAAATAAATGGTCGGGGCGGAGGGGGCGGGAGGGCGCTGCCCGCGGGGGGGGGCGCTGAGACGGCGCGGGGGATAAAATGTGGTCGGGGCGGAGGGGGCGCCGGGCGTGGCGCTGGTGCGCGGGGCGGAGGGGCGCCGGGCGGGCGCTGGCAGCCGCGGGGGCGCTGAGACGACGCGGGGGGGGGGGGGGGGGTGGGGGCGGTGCCGAAATAAAGTGGTCGGGGCGGAGGGGGCACTGGGCGGGCGCTGGAGCCGCGCGGGGGCGTTGAGACGGCGCGGGGGAGGGGGCGGAGCGGGGGGGGGACGGTGCCGAAATCCGCCGACCCCTTGGGGTCATCGGCGTGTGAGATGCTTCCCCCCTCCCCAAACCCCTCCCCCCGGAGCCTGGTCCGGTCGTTTTGGAGGGGGGGGGGGGGGGTCCGGCCGGATTCCCCGGGATCCGCCGGCGCGGTCCGGGGGGGGTCATCCGCTCCAGAGAGTCTGCTGGGGGGGCCGCAAACGAGCGAAGAGGCTCCCAAGAAGCTCTGCAGACGGTCCAAGAGGGCCCCGAGTCGCCGAAAAAACACTCGAAGACGGTCAAGATGGCCTCCAGATGGCCCCAGATGCCTCCAAGACGCCCCAAGAAGCTTCCAAGACGCCTCCCAAGATGGCCCCAAGAGGCCAAAATCGTCGATTTCCATTGGTTTTTTCAACGTTTTTGGCCTTCGCGTTTTTTCGGGCTTCCGACGCTCCAAGACGGCGAAAGAAGCCCCCAAGACGGCATCAAGACGACCCGAGAGGCTCCCAAGTGGGCCCCAACACGGCCCAAGAGCGCCTCAAAACGGCTCAAGAGGGCCTTCAGACAGTCCAAGAGGGCCCACAGAGGGGCCCAAGAAAGGCTCCAGACGGGGACCACGAACCTAAAATTCTAGCCTTCCGCCCCAAAAGGCGCCAAGGAGGCCCCAAGAGGCCTCCAAGAGGCTCCAAGAAGCCCCCAAGAGGCCCCCAACAAGCCCAAAAAAAGCCCCAAGCTGCCCCAAAACAGCTCCCCAGAAGCCTCCAAACTGCCTCCCGCAGGCCCCCGAGAGGATTCTCACGACGACGGCGCCAGAGGCTCCCACAACGGTCAACGAAGCCCCCAAGATGGCCCCAAAAAGGTGCCCAGCCTACGCCGTCGAGTCTGTCGCCGCCATTGTCGTCCTCGTCGTGTTCTCCTGCTCCTTCTCATCCTCCTCTTCCGCCCCCTCCTCCCGTCTCCCCTCTCAGCTTTCTGTCTCGTATTCCCTCCACTGGCTCACTTTTCACCTTCTCCGCCTTTGGCTGCTCCCCCATCCTCCCTCCTCCACGTCCCCCTTATCCATCCCGTCCCCAGCGGTCAGATTCCTCGCAACTTCCGTGCCTTGTCGCAATGCTCGTCACTTGGTTCCGCCGGGCGTTTCGGAGGGTCTCTCCGCGGCGCTCGTCCCGTGCATGTCTTGCATTTCAGGGTGCCCTTCTTTGCGTCGCAGTGTGAACGCGACGTCGTCCCGCATTGCCGTCCAGGGCCCAGAGGCTCCCAAGACGTCCCCAAAAGGGCGCCAAGACGACCCACGAGGCGCCCAAGTCCATGGGCTCGCTCCGGAGCTCCAAAACGACCCCTGAGACCTCCCAAGAAGGCCCACAGGCAATCCAAGAGGACCCCGACGCGCCAGAGAAAGGAAGAAGAACCAAAAAAAAAAATGATCGACCAAGATGACATCCAGACCACTCATGAACCCCTCCGGCCGCCTCACAGAGCCTCCAACAGAGCCCCTCCCAAAACCGGCGATCGCCCCAGAAAAAAAAACAAGGGGTCGGCGGATGTGGCGTAAGCTTGAAGAATAAAGTGGTCGGGGCGGAGGGGGCACTGGGCGGGCGCTGGAGCCGCGCGGGGGCGCTGAGACGGCGCGGGGGAGGGGGCGGAGCGGGGAGGGGGGGTGCGGTGCCGAAATAAAGTGGTCGTGGCGGAGGGGGCACTGGGCGGGCGCTGGAGCCGCGCGGGGGCGCTGAGACGGCGCGGGGGAGGGGGCGGAGCGGGGAGGGGGGGTGCGGTGCCGAAATAAAGTGGTCGGGGCGGAGGGGGCACTGGGCGGGCGCTGGAGCCGCGGGGGGGCGCTGAGACGGCGCGGGGGAGGGGGCGGAGCGGGGGGGGGGTGCGGTGCCGAAATAAAGTGGTCGAGGCGGAGGGGGCACTGGGCGGGCGCTGGAGCCGCGGGGGGGCGCTGAGACGGCGCGGGGGAGGGGGCGGAGCGGGGGGGGGTGCGGTGCCGAAATAAAGTGGTCGGGGCGGAGGGGGCACTGGGCGGGCGCTGGAGCCGCGGGAGGGCGCTGAGACGGAGGGGGCGCATGATGATGATGATGTGGATGATGATGATGATGATGGATGATGATGATGATGATGATGATGATGATGATGATGTGATGATGATGGTGATTATGATGGGGGGGGGGTGCGGTGCCGAAATAAAGTGGTCGGAGCTCTAGACACCCTGTGCAAGAGAATAAAAGGTTCCGTGGCCCAGGGGGGCTGCCCTGGGAAGCCTGGACGGGCTGCCCTGGGATGCCTGGGCGGGGGGCAGGGGGGGAGGGGGCAGGGGATGGTGAGGGCCAGGGCCAGGGGGACGAACGACACGAACGACGAACGACACGAAAATAAAGGGTTCCGTTGCCCAGGGGGGCTGCCCTGGGAAGCCTGGACGGGCTGCCCTGGGAAGGCTGGACGCGGGGCAGGGGGGGGTGAGGGCCAGGGCCAGGGGGCGACCAGGGCCAGGGGGACGAACGACACGAACGACGAACGACACGAAAATAAAGGGTTCCGTGGCCCAGGGGGGCTGCCCTGGGAAGCCTGGACGGACTGCCCTGGGATGCCTGGGCGGGGGGCAGGGGGGGGTGAGGGCCAGGGCCAGGGGGCGACCAGGGCCAGGGGGACGAACGACACGAACGACGAACGACACGAAAATAAAGGGTTCCGTGGCCCAGGGGGGCTGCCCTGGGAAGCCTGGACGGGCTGCCCTGGGATGCCTGGACGGGGGGCAGGGGGGGGTGAGGGCCAGGGCCAGGGGGACGAGCAGGACACGAAAGTGTTCCGTGGCCCAGGGGGGGGGGTGAGGGCCAGGGCCAGGGCACGACCAGGACACGAAAATAAAGATGTCCGAGCTCTAGAGCACAGCTGTGCAAGAGAATAAAAGGATCCCTCCTCCTCCCTCCTCCTCCTCCTCCTCCTCCTCCTCCTCCTGCTCCTGCTCCTGCTCCTGCTCCTCCTCCTTCTCCTCCTCCTCCTCCTCCGCTTCCTCCCCCCACGCCTAGCCCTTTCGATCAGGGTCGGCGGCACCGCCCGCCAGGCCTCTCCAATAAATACACACAACTAAAAGGATCCCCCATATTTTCCTATATTTTTATAAGGTTTTTGTCTTCCCCCCCACTTCCAATATTTTCCTGGGAGTCGACGATGAATTGTGGCTCTGTGTGTTTTTTCCCCTCCTGATGATTGTCGGGCTCCACCACAAGGGGGGGACCCTGACGGGGGGGAGGAGTTCGGTCCGCTGGTGCAGCGACTCTCCGAAAAACGGTGCAGTGCCCCCCGCGCGCCCCGATTGTCGACACCTCTTGGGTTCCGGCGGCGGCCGGAGACCTCGCTTTGCGTCGTTTTTTCTGCGGTTCGATGCGCCAGCGGACCGAACTCCCCCCCCCCCTGTGGCACCCCTCCCCTCTGCGAGGTCCCGAGGATTGTCCGGGGCGACGACGGGGGCGAGTAGCCCAGGGGAGAACAATACACGTATCCGAGGGCGCCGATGGTCCATGCCTTCGGCGAGGCCTCCGGGCGAATACGTGTAATGCCCGCCCCTGAGCTATATTCGCCCTTCTCGTCGTCTCCGAGATTGCCCGGGATGCCTGGGTCGCCCGGCTGCCTCACTGCCTGGGCTTCCCGGCAGTGCCAAGCACTGGCAATGCCGATGCCAAGCGGCGCGAGCAATCGCACTGCATTGCCAGTGCGAGCCGACATCTCCAGCCACAGTGCTGGGATCAATTTGCGCATGAAGTCTTCGCGGGCGCTATCGGTCCAAGGGACCCTGGAACCCGTTGAGTAGTCAACCCACCGCCAGTCCACACTCCCTCCTCCCTCCTGTCCTCCGTCACTCCCTCTCTCCTCCTTCCTCCTCCTGCCTCCTCCCCCCTCCATCTAGCCCTCCCTCCTCACACGCTGGGGTCTGAGATGCTAGCCTGAATCATCAAATGACGCGTTTGGGTATGGTTGCCGAGCCTCAAGCTGATGAGTTATGCCCGTCTCGCTGGAAAGCGGCCGGCCAGTGAGGCCTGGCGACCCAGCCCCTCGTCGACGACGGCCACCGACGGCAGCTGCGTGCTCGGAAGATCGACCACGGCGGCGACGACGACGACGGTCAGTCCCCAATCGACGGCGCGGTCCCATTGGCAACTCCCCGAATCGTTCCCCGGACCCCTCCCGGGGACCGTCCTGGGCAACTCCTCGTGAGGCGTCCAGCCGTACTGAAGGGGCCCAAGGACACACACACACACACACACACAAATACGTGTACACGAACCCCTGGATTCCCGTTCTTGTTTCAATATTTTATGGAGTTTCGTCTTCCCCTCCCCTCCCCATGTGTGCCACATGCTCCTGGGGATCGATGTGTATCTGTGTCCGTGCTGTTTCTTCTCCTCCTGGCGTGCCCCCCGAGGGGCCCGCCGAAGAAGGCATCCCGAAGCGACGGCGCCGCCCCTCCGTCTCCGGGAACCTCGACAAATTCGGCCTGCCTCCTGCCCCCCCAACGCCACGAACGTATTTGTATGCATACATATGTATATGTATGTGTGTATATATATATTCATCTATGTCGATATAATGTCGGGCGTTGGCACAACTGGGTTTCAGGGGGCCTGGCTTAATGATGTGTACGGGGGGCGCCCCCCCCCGTCCCGTTCCACTCACCGGAATTGCCGTAACCCGAAAAGCATTAGCTATGGCAGACCTGGTTTAGTGATTCCAATCCATATTTTGGGCGTCGGGGACCAATCACTATCCAGCTACCCTTAACCGGGGTCCTGCCTATACCCGATCATGTGTGCATGGATATGGTTTTGTTGGCAAGGCTGCGGCAAGGCAAACACGTCACGCGTTGTTGGCAGGCTGCGGCTAGACAACATCGTTACCTTTGGGCAGGCTGCGGCCAACATCGTTACCTTTGGGCAGGCTGCGGCACGACAAACACGTTACCCTGGGCATGGGGTTTAGGAATACCACTGCGTCCTCCGCAGCGACTGACGCCCAGGCTACTTCAATGGTGCTCAGATATCATAACGCATTCAGCCACATGAGCCCTATGCCACGAAAATACATACACAGACGCTCTCCGACGAGTCCTGCGTGCATCTTCCGGGAGGGCGGGGGTGTACAAAGTCGCCGGCTCCCAGTGGCGATTCATACACTGCTGCCCTCCGATGAGGCCCAGCCAGAATCCATGGGAGGGTGTCGATGTACATACATTTTCGTGGCGGATATCTAGAGGCCTCCTAGATGGGGTCGGAGTAGATGGGGTCGAAGGGTCGCGCCGCATCGCCAATGCATCGCCGATGCATCGGCGATGCGTCGGCGACGCATCCGCGACGTCGGCGTGGGGGAACTCGGGCTCTGCGTCGAGCCGCATCGTCGATGCATCGGCGATGCGGCGGCATCCTCCGACCCCATCTGCTCCGACCCCATCTAGGAGGCCTAGGAAGATCCCCGCGCCGCGGCAGCCAGCGCTTGCTGCCCCATGGACAACTGGTCGACGAGCCCGCGTCCGCGCACGTGCTCCTCCTGCGGGCGGGGGGTGGGGCAGGAGAGCCCAGAATCGAATCGATAAGTCGAATCGGCAATCGAAACGAATCGGATCGGCGGAAATCGGCAGCCGAGTCGGGAAAAGTCGAATCGGCAGACATCGGCAGGCCAGTAGGCCTCCATATTGAGAAATCGGACCCCGAATCGGAATCCGATGTCGAATCGGATCGGACTCGGAAGCCGTCGAAATCGAATCGAATCGAAGCGGAGGACTCGACAGGAGCGCCCCTCCGCAGACCTCTCCTGCGCGCCTCCCTGGATGCCCCCTCCGATGGGCTCCCATTGGCGGTGGCCCCTCCTGCTCTGCTCACACATACAGGGAGAGAGAGAGAGAGAGAGAGAGAGAGAGAGAAAGAGAGAGGACTCCTCCTCCTCCTCCTCCTTCAAAAGAGATTGAGGGAGAAGAGAGAGAGTGGGGTAACCAAAAGGTACCGTTACGGCTACTCACCAGACCTCTCCGGAGGTGCGCTTTGACCAGGAGTTCGAGGCGAATGCAGCGGTGGCGACGATGGTCTCCCAGGAGGCCCACGAAAGGCGAAAACGAGGCAAGGGTAGTAGCGGTATGTGTACCTTTTCCTCCTCCGAGAAGATCGGCGGCAAGCGGGGGAAACATGAGAAGGAGAAGGCCTTCTCAGAAGGCGGCGGGGCTCCTCAGAAGCCCTCATGCCTTCTGGGAGCCTTTCTGTCCTCGGGGAAGGCTTTGAGAGCTTCTCGGAAGGCTGGGGGACTTTCGGGGGCGCGCAAACATGGATTAGCGATCCATGGATTAGGCGCGCGGTCGCTAAAATCTATGGATCGGGGGAGGTGCCATCCCCAAAATGCGGCCGGTGCCGCCTCGTTCGGCGGCTGAAATCCGCGATTTTCCATGGAAACGGGACCCGTCGCTCACCCACGCCCCCTCGATCCATGCTTGCGATCGCCTGATTCCGGGCCCTCTGACCAGGCCCGCCCCTTCCCGCTCCCCTCCCGGGCTCGCAGCCGAGAGGAGTCGGTCGTTGCCAGTACTGGGTTTAGTGGGACCTGATTTAGTGATGTGTACTGGGGGACGCCACCCCGCCCCGTTCCACTAATCGGAACTGCCGTCACCTGAAAAATACCAGCTGCGGCAGACCTGGTTTAGTGATTCTGGCAAATTCAAGGGCTCCAAGGCCCTATCACTGACCGGGTCCCCTTACCTGGGGTTCTGGCTATAACCGAAAGAGGGAGGGAGGGAGGAAGACGAGCGGGGAAGAGGCCCGACCTGCCTCCCGCGCGCCGGCTGGACGAGCGTTGGGAGGCTTGGACACGGGCGCCGACACCGACACTTGAGCAGGGACCGACCGTCCCGGCATTCCTATAGTTCTACCACGAAGTGTCCCCCAAAATGTTCTAATCACAAAACAATGTTCTTAGAGCATACACCCGATGTGTTAAAACAAGACAATATCAACCAAACATGTTCTAAGAACATTTCGTGGAAACCACAAAAAAAAGGTTCTTAGAACATTGTTTGGTAGGGCTATAGGCGAGCCAGGACGCTTCGCCACTGCTTGGGACACAGGGGGGGTATCTCCACCGGGGCAAGGTGGTCTCAGATCCCAGTGTTAGTTTTAAGTCGGGCATGCCCTCCTACAGGCGGGCTTTGGAGGAAGCATGAGAAACAGTCAAACAATACAAAAAAAGAGTCAAACAGGTAATAGAAAAATCGCCCCCAGACTATTTCTATATTATTTTTGCAGATGTCTCCTGTAGAGGGACAAGCCCCTGGGCCACCTTTCGGCCACCTGGGCAGCCCGAGCATCACCACCACCAAGATCGGGATCTCCTTCCCTCAGTGGAGGCACACCGCCGACAGTGGTGTCAAGGTCAACCTCCAGGCCGCCGAGAACGGGTCTTCGGTTAGGTCGGGCATGTCCTCCTACAGAGGCGGATGTTGGAAGTAAGATGAAAACTTAGCAACACGAACATCAAGCATAGTCAGACATGCTCGAAACATCGTCCCCAGACTATTACAGGCGCCCCCAGAATCGAATCGATGACGGATCGGCGATCGGAATGAATCGGATCGGCGGAAATCGAAGGCCGAGTCGGGAAAAGTCGAATCTGCAGAAATCGGCAGGCTAGTATGCCTCCAATAAGAAATCGAAACCCAGATCGGAATCCGAAATCGAATCGGATCGAACTCGGAAGCCGTCGAAATCGAATCGAATCGAAGCGGAGGAATCGAAACGGATCCTGGACTATCCTCCCCCTCGTCCTCCCCCTCCTCCACATCCTCCTCCTCCTCCTCCTCCACCTCCTCCTCCTCCTCTCCCCCTCCTCCTCCTCTTCCTCCTCCTCCTCCTCCTCCTCCTCCTCCTTGTCCTCCTCCTTGTCCTCCTCCTCCTCCTCCTCCTCCTCCTCCTCCTCCCTGTAGAGGGACATGCCCGACTTCTACGCCTTCGGCGAGGCCGCCCCCGCTCTTGCGGCGGCCCGCGCCGCACAATTGCGCGCGGCCCGCCCGCGCGGCCAGCTTTCAGTCGGGCCTGTCCCTCTACCAGAGAAATATTCAAGAACAATCGAAACGTAACATCGGGACTATTGTTTGTGTATGGTGTTGACCATGCTGTGGTATGTTGGGGGTATGTTTTATTTTTCGTCCGAAATCCTCCCGTGGGATTATGTTGCCCCCCCTCGTACTTAAGGACCCGATCCCAAAAATGACTTCGAGCACCCGGAAAAGTGTCGAAAGAGAGTCGAAAGAGTGTGAAACAAGTGTCTCCCAGGGCCCCACGCGTGAAAGCACTCGAGTTCTTGTTGGGGGTACTTTCAGGGTGCTCGAAATTCGTTCTGGTGGTCAAGGTTACATCGGGTTGGAACATCATATAACTGGAGGAGCAATGTTCAAGCATGGTCAGAAACTAGTCTGGGGACGACTGTTTGCATATTTGTTTGGTCATGTTGTGGTATGTTGGGGGTATTTTTCCGTTCTCGCCAAAAAGATCATCCTGTGGGCGGACGGGCCCGACTTTGAGGCCAGCTCTCCGCGCTCCCTGGGCGGCCCGCCCCGCCGGAGGCGCAAAGGGTAGGATCGATCTCCCGGGATCGAAGCGACGAGTCGGATCGGAGCTTCGGCGGCGAGGCAAAGCGCGGACCTATAGGAGATCTTCGGCGGACCTCGACGATGCATCGGGCCGCGCGGCCGCTCCAGGGCGCTTCGGGACGCGCTGGAACCATGTCCGAGTCTGGGAGTCGTGCAGATATCCTCCGCCCAGGTATAAGCGGCGCGCCCCGGGGGGGGAGTGAGAGGGGGCGGGCCTTCTCAGAAGGCTCGACTACCGATAGAAAGCCTCGGTTTCCCATAGAAAAGCTGAGGACCACCTAAGAGAACAGCTGTAAACCAATGGAGGAACACTGAGCCCCTCCCCAACGAAAAGGGTCTCTTCTTCAGCGGCCCGACTGTATTGGTGGCGAGCGCAGGGAGGAAGGGAGAAAGTGGCGGGCCTTCCCAGAAGGCTCGGAAGCCCCCTGGGCCTTGTGAGAAGTTGTCTGAGCCTTCCCCGAAGGCAGACAACAAAAACTCTCAGGAGGTGCGAGGACTTCTGAGGAGCCCCGCCGCCTTCTGAGAAGGCCTTCTCCTTCTCGCTTCCCCCCCTCGCTCGCCGCCGAGACATCGAGGTGAATCGGATCGACGGAAACGGTAGCCGGGCCGGGAAGAGTCGAATCGGCAGACA